TTATTAAAAAGAAAAATATACAAGTCTGACAATCATAATTTGCATAAAATTTCATATTCAAGAAGATATATAGTGGGGTTTGCTTTAATTTGACAAGGAAGCTGTGTAAGTTATCTCTACATAAATCAATAATCACATTTATTCACAAAATCAATATTTTCACAACAAAAATACTCTACGAAAAACTGTATATGTGTGGGTGCATATACAGAACAAATATGTGCAAAGATTTTGTGTACAAGCATAGATATTCATTTAGTGTTATCATGTACCCAAAGAGATAGCTCCATGTATAAAGTTTAGAGTATAAAATAAAATTAATTATTAATTATTTTTAAAAATTTCCTAAAATATGTCCAGAGGAATGTCCAGCAGCATTTATAGTTAAAAATGGAAGCAAAAAATAGAAAAGAAAAAATATATCTGCTGGTACATAACATAACTATTTAAAAAACACATATACCTTAATTTCCCAATGAAAATGATGTCTTGGGCAGAAAGAAAATGACTAAAATATCAAATCATAAAATTTTAAAAATGGTTTGTTCAAAAACATAGACTCTTAATAAAAGTCTACTCTACTTCCTAGAATACTTTGATGATATGAAAATGATGAGTAAATTATTTTTCAAGTGTGATGTATCTAGGAAATAGATCAGTGAAACAAAAAGAGTAATATCATCACAGCATACAAACAGAAAATTCACATATAGAAGGAAAAAATCACAGTTTACATTGCATTCATGTTTAAAATCAAACATCACTTTTTCACATTCTGAAGATTCCCCCCCCCCCCCGTAAATATGGAAAGAAAAACAAGCCAGGGCTTTAATATAATATTTTTTTCCAACCTGGAACAGCTGCAAAAAACAAATCTTGCTGGAGATAAGCTTGGTTATAAATATCAACATTCCCTTTAAATAAGGGAGTCCAGTTTTCATACCATCTGCCTCTTTCTAAAAGGGAAAAAATATGAAAATCATAAACTAGGACATTCTCTTTCAAAGAAGGCATTTAAAAATGAATGTGGTAAAAAGGCTATGAACTGCTCTGAGCCCCTGCCTCCAAACGTGCCCTGTTTATTAGCTCAGGTCAGGAGACCGGATTTCATGAATGTAAACAACTCTTAGTCTATGAATAAAATACTTAAAGCAATTAATAAAGAAAAAAAATGTTCCCAAACTTTTTCACATTATTGGCTATAATCACAATCTGATAAGGTCATACTTCTTCTTAATGTATTATACTCCTTACTGTTCATTTTTAAACTACATTTGCTACTTTTGTTACCTCTACTTCTTCCAAAACCTTTTTATACCCTGTTCCAAAGACTCTCATGTTATCTCTTCTAGTACAAAATCTAGTTGCTAACAGAACTGGACTCTTCGTTTAATACAGATTCTAACCTCTGCAAAATCTTTCCAATGCTTCTCTCAACACAGTGGTCTTCTGGTACGTGAGTCTGGGTTTTATCTTAAAACCTTTTTTCTTCTTTTGCCCTTAATTATTTTTCATTCTTTGTTAATGACCTTGTGATTGAACACTTTAAATTTTTACTGTACCACATCATTACTACTTCAATAATGAAGTCCATAAACCTTATCCATTATTTAACTCCTTAAAGCATTCATAAGAAAGTATTAATGAAAGATGGCCTACCAAATAGAGCGGTTCAGAGTGGTCTACTAGAGATGGGTACATAAAGGAATATCCTGTATAGCAATACTAAGATTGCTTGAGAGAAAGGAGAAGAAACCCAAGACCGAGAGAAATGGCATCCTTTATTTTAACAATATATGTAAATGTTTAGTCAATTCCTAGAATTACAGTGGTAGGATTCTGAAAAGCTACTGTAACAAAGGCACCTAGGGAGCCCTGGCATAATTCATTCTCCTCATATTCATTCTCTGCTTTCCTCTTTTTCTCATACACACATAAAGGCACACTGATACAGCTGAACAAAAAGAGCAAAATTGAATCTTCAATCATGAGCATTTGCAGTTATTTTAAGGTGCTAAGACTGCACTTAAATGCGTCCTTCCTAGGAAAAATATGTCTTAAGACTTTTTTTTCATTCACTTTCATTCCATTTTAACCATGGACCACCCAGGTCTGTAATAATACGAAACAAAGTTCTTTTACAAATGACAAATGACATTTAATTGCTTTCTTGGAATGATGCTTCCTCAGTGTGCAAGGAGGGAGGACGGGAAGATATGTCTTCAGAGTAATGGTCAATAACATTTAATCTCAAATTAATTATTTAAAATAAATGATGATTTTAAATAATCAATATTTCATGCTTTTCGCAATTTGATGCAGGCACTACAAAATGATACAAACAATCAGATTATCAGTATTGTAACAGAAATGTTATCTTACCTTAGATCTATCAACTATTTAAAAATATTAAAAAAGGCTTTTTCATATTAAATTTACTCTACTGTTTCTTTTCTGAATTCTCTCCACTAGAACATAGTACACAAGAGCAAGGATCTTTGTTTTTATAACTAAAATTCCATAACAATTAGAAAAATGTGGTACACAGTAGACACTCATTACATGTTTTGAGTAAGTATTTTTCAGAAGACAGTTAACATTGACTTTAATCTTCCACATTTTATGGTTAGTTATTGTAAACACATAAAAATGCTTTGAGTTTTAAAATGTTACTATGAATTCTCTATCTCTCACAGGAATATGGGGGTTAACTCTTCTCAACTTTAACTCATTTCCCTCTGGTTCCATCACTTTTTAGTTGCTTCCCAAGCTAAGCTCATTTACCATTTTTAAAATGGACACTGTAAGAATACCTATCTCCTATGGCTGTTGTAAGCGCTGAATTAAATAGCTAAATATATAAAGTACTTAACATAGTCCTTCTCACATAGTGTTTATTAAATGTTTTTAATATCATTACGTCATGCTGGTTTAATCAGTTACTTGCTGTTGAGATACCACAGAGTCCAAATGGTTTTTGTGAACAAAATACAACCTGAACTTGATGATCTCACATTTGTTTAAGAAGTCAATGAGCTCCCTTACAGTTAAGGTTCTAAAAGTATAAGAATGGTCTCAGAATATACTATGCCTGTACTAATTTAATTACATATAAACTGTACACTTTCTGCTATTATTTGGTCTTCTAACAATCTTCTATTATCAGTTAAGTGACTTCAACAAAAATATCTTTGGACAACTTTTAAGATGCCAAATTACATGTACTGTTTTATTGTCAGTAAATATCGGAAATTCTGGATTAAGAGAGTACCACTTTCATGCTCACAGCATATGTACATAATCAGTACTCAAAAATACTTTCTAAAATGGAAGACTTCTAAACAAACAAACAAAAGCTTAAACACTAGTCCTCAGTTTTAAAAGTGATAACTATAGCTCTAATCTTTGTCAAGTGTTCTAAAATACCTTTCAATCTAAGAAAAGAATCTTTTCAGGTCAACTTTTCCACCAATTCCTTGTTATTCTCTCCTGAGAAGATGTACTAAATGTATATATATCTCCACAACACGCATTGAGCAGATCAATATGTTCCCTATTAGATAAAACTGGTTCTGTCATCAAGGTCTCAAAACTTTCATTTGCAATACTAAATGTGGCATCCCAAATATTTTAACCATGGGTTTAATACACAATGGCAAACAAGAAACATGATTTCAGAATATCCTTTTAATTATAGTACATACCAAACAATGTCTTCTGAAAACTTTCTTAAAAAATATCACAAATATTCTAATAATTTCTCTATCTTCTTTTTAAAAATTAAACCTCACTGTCGCATTATAGTACTTTATTTGAAAATCTATCATAAAAGCATGATCCCATAAAAGCACTGGATAACTACCTCACTAGTTTTCGACATTTTTATTCCCTCTGTTGTGAAATGATTGGGTCCTTAATATCATGGTAACCAAAATTTGAGAGCTAGAGTTAGATTATATCTCATGAGTCCCTCTAATGGAAGCAGCATACACAAAAGTCTTTTAAAGTGTACATTTTTAAGTTATTACTGATCTCTAAACAATTTAAAGAAAAAGTAACTGAACTTTCCAAAGTAATATTGCAGTAAAATATATAATCTAAGTTTTTATAAGTGTATAACATTTCCCAGCAACCTCTCTGCCCCAAGTCAACTGTATGTCCCATTTGACTCAGCAGCCATTAAAACCTGCAGGGCTCTCCTGAAGTCTTCCACTCACCCTCATTTTATTTTAGGCATATGAACTTATTTCCCAAGTTACAAAGAAAATACAGACCACTAAGTAAAAATCGCTCACTTGCAAGCTTGCTCTAGCTCATTGTTTCACACACCAACATACACATTGACACATACTCCAAACACACATATATACACACATACGTGTTAACATACAGACATTGTTTAGGTAATCACCTCTACCATAATCTCAGTGAAAGAAGTGTCCTGTGGTGTACCAAGGCTCCCTCTGTGCCCTGGAGTCCACCCCTATGTATATACTTTTCCTGCCTTTTTTACCTTTTGTTCTCCTCTTTTACCTTTCTTCTATCATTGCTTTTGTCTGGGATCTCACCAGCATTACTGAATTAGTATCATTATTAGTCTTCCTGTCTCTGGTCTTGCTCCCCTCAAACCATCTCCCACACTGTTTCCAGCATAATCTTTCATAAATTAAGTTAATCAAGAAAATCCCCTGAAGGATATTATATCATTCAGTGTTTCCCTATGTCCTGTAGGATGGAGTTCTAATCTCATAGCTTGGTATATTCTAACCCCTGTTCTCCTTCCGATTTCTACCTGTCTTTATCCCACACAAACAATGTGCTCTAACTATTTTGAATTGCATACAGTTCCCTGAAATTGTCACACTACATAACAGCTTATTGCCTTTGCCTATACTCTTCTTTTCTCTGAAAATGTTTTCAAATACTTCTTTATCTGGATATGTTATACTTCTGTAAAACAGTAGAAAGGTATAGCAGTCATTAATTCTACTCACATATCTTCCAATTCTCTTTTCCCTCTGAGTAGAGACAATATTGCACTTCATAGTCCCCCTTTTGAAATTTGTTTTGACCAATGTATCAGTGCGTAATTAGCCACTCTCTTCCCATTGCTGCATCTGGGTCATGGAAGTACATGAGCTTTCCTACCAACACGTTTTGGACATGTAGTCTGTGTGAGAAAGAAACATTTGTTGAGTTAAGACACTGTGAATTGGGCTTGTTTGTTTCTACAGCATAATTCAGGCTATTCTGGCTGATAATAAAAGGCTACCTTTTCCAGCAAGCCTTCCATGAGCCCAACACAGTGTGATTCAAATGCTGTTTCTCCAAGGGCAGACAGCATTGTATTCATACTCGTATCACAACACAACACTAGTAAGATGGCTGCCATAACTACCCATCTCCCTTCCAATAGTACTTCTGAGGGCAGGAACTGTGTATTTCATCTCTATATCATCACCAATTAGCATAGTGCCTCGCTCATAGTAAATGTTGAAAAAATGTTTGCTAAATTTACCGCTCTTTCATTAATTCACTCATCAAGAACCAAGGATTCATCTAGTTGCTACAGATAGAGTAAAACCAGAGGAAACAAAAACACCTGCTGTCACAGGAACTAATATTCTTAAGAAGGACAATGACGATAAGCAAGACAAATAAGTATAAAATGTATAGTTCGTTATACAGTGATAAATGCTAAGTAGAAAATACAGAGCAGGGATATTTAGATGGTGACCAGTTAAGATCTCATTTAGAAGATGACCTTTTAATAAAGACCCAAAGGAAAGTAAATAAATTGGCTATGAAGATATCTAAGGAAGAGCAATTCTGTAGAGAGAATACCCTAAAAACCCTGAGATGGGAACAGTCCTGGAATGTTCAAAGAACATCAAAGGAGCCAGTATGGCTGAACAAATGAATGATTAGAGATGAGATTAGAGCAGTAACAAGGACCCATCTCTTGTGGAGACATATAGGCACGTTTAAGAGCTTTAGCTTTTATCATGGTGAAATAGAGAGCCATTGAAAAGTTCTGAGCAGAGGAGGAGGTGGGAGAGGACAGCAGAAGATAAGGTCAGGGATATAATGGGGGCCCATATTCTTTGACTGTATAACATATTTCCTCTTTCCACAAAACACGTAAAAAGAGGATATAGCAATTAATCAAGAAAGATTAAAAATGACATTGAATGACATTTTACAATGATCTTAATGTGTTCCTTACTTACTAAGCAGAAACATTGATTATGATCCCTACACAATTACCAAACTTACAGTAATGTACCAAAGTATCATAAAGGACCAAACACCAAGAGAAACAAGTATTTAATGTAGAAACAAATCCTAATAGACAATAAATAATAATAAATGATTCAAAAATATATCAGATATAGATTTATAGTTCCATGGATCTTGTTTTATTTACTTGGATTTGTCCAAATGCCACAAAATAAATATAAGTAAAAACATTCCCCCATTGTAGTACTTCTGTCTTCCATAAGAAACACTACCTTCCAAACTCAAGCTCATTGCCAGAAGCAAACAAACCAAAACAAGAAACAAGTGAAAAAAAAAAAAAAAAACCGCAAGTCAAAACACCTTTTGCCAAATGTTAGATCAAATAAACACACCTTGTGTTGTGTCCTTGATGCTGCCAAGTCTGAACTCTGGAGAGCTGCCAAGGGGAAGATGTTTCCAAAGGCAAGATCTTTACTGAAGAAGCCGTGCTTGCATTCCTGGAAAATTCAATTCCAGATACCAATAATAATGCTCTTGGTTGTTTTTTCTTACTGGAATTCAAAATAGAGTATATGGAAATATTAAACAGATGATCTCCAGTGCCCTAATGCCCACAAGATAAAATCACTATGGCGGCAATATCCAAGAAGTGTTTCTTGGTATGCTAAGTCTGTTATACATTCAATCGAATTAAGCTTCTCTGGTCAATACAGTCAAAAAAATGCTGCATACTATGCCCCTTTTTCATAAAGCACACCTTCTAAAAAAAAAAAAAAAAGGTCCTGAGAAGTCATGTAATAAGAAACCTTTTTTAAATTTACTTGACCCAATGTTTCTGAAATATAAAGACACCCTTTCCACTGCAATAAATAGTAACATTATTTCTACAGATCATACTTTAATCACTATGCATTCACTGTATAGTGATTATCTGAAAAGTAGTGAGAGATGTGTTCACTATATTTTTAGAGTTGAATATGTATGCAAAGAGACCAATTTTAATTTGTTCTCTGTTACTGCAATTTGTACAAAGGTGACCTATAAAAATAATTTCTAAAACTACAAAAATAATTTAATGAAATATAAATATTAAATATGTTACTTTCTAAACTAAATGCCCATTAAAAAGCAACAAAGAAATAACATGATTTATTCATTTTTGTTCAACAGGTATTTACTGAATATCTATTATGTGCCAGGCACTGGACCTATCCCTAGTTTTATGTTGCAATTGCTCTTATATAGATAAGAGTATCAAGTTTAAATGGTTCCAACCACTGTCCCATAATAATAAAATCAACTCGAAATTTATCCCCAAGCCTCTGAGAACACAAGTTTCATTAATTCCAAGCATATCATTAAAAATAGCTCGCAACCTTTAGGCCATTTTAAATAGTGATAATAATCCAGGTCAAGCATGATAATATGAAAGCACAGGTTTTTTTTTTTTTTTAAACAAATGGTACTGCAAAAGAATAAAACTGAAGTCCTGCTTCATAATATGCACAAAAATTAACTCCAATGAGTCACTGACTTAGATCAAAATACTGAAATAATTAAATGCTTAGAAGAAAACAGAAGAGTAAAATTTCATGACCATGGGTTGGCAAATAGTTTCTTAGATACAACCCCAAACATACAAGCAACAACAACAAAAAACAGGTACACTGGACTTCATCAGAATAAAGAAAAACTTTTGTGCTCCAAAGTACATAATCAAGAAAGTGAAAAGACAACCAACAGAATGGGAGAAATTACTTGCAAATTATATATCTGTCATGGGTCTTATATCCAGACTAATGAAGAACTCTTACGACACAACAGTAAAAATGTAAATAATCCAATTTTAAAAAGGGCAAAGGATTTAAATAGACGTTTCTTCAGAATAAATACAGACTGCCAATAAGCGCATGAAAAGATCAGTCACTAAGGAAATTCAAATCAAAAGAGATACAATGAGATGCCACTTCACTAGACAGACATTAACAAGTGTGGGTGAGGATATGAATTAGACCTTCCTACATTGCTGGTGGGAAAGTAAAATGGTTGCACAGCCGTCTTGGAAAACAGTTTCTCAGTTCCTCAAACCATATGACCCAGCAATTTCACTCCTAGGTATTTACCCAAGAGAAATGAAAACACATTTCATGTCCACATAAAAACTTGTACATAAATGTTCATAGCATCATTATTTTTATAGCCACAAAGTGGAAACAATCCATGATGAATAGATAAATAAAATGTGGTATAACCATACAATGGAATATTATTCCACCACAAAAAGGAATGAAATATTAATACATGTTACCCCATGGGTGAACCTTGAAAACATGCTAAGTGAAAGAAGCCAATCACAAAAGTCCAATTAATGCATCATTCGTATTGTTCTCTTTGTATGAAATGTCCAGAATGAGAAAATCTATCAAGAAAGAAGACAGATTAACAGTTATATAGGTCTGGGAGTGAGAGCAAAAGAGATGGGGCATGACTGATAATGGGTACTGGGTTTCTTTTTGAGGTTATTTAAATGTTCTAAAATTACATAGTGGTTATGTTTGCACAACTCTGTGAATATCCAAACAAGCTACTGACTTATACACTTAAAAAAATAAATTTAATGGTTTTCGATTATATCTCAGTAAAGCTGTTCCTAAAATAAAAAACCATAATAATATATATAATCCTTATCTAAAATGTTTGAGCCAAAAAATAAAATAAAAATAAAATAAAGTAAAGTAAAAAAATAAAATAAAATACAGTGTTTGGGCTAATTGTGCCTTGGAGGTTTTTAGATTATAGAAAAGTTAATATATCCCATTTACCATAATTACATAACACTCCTGGAGGAAAGTAGGGGCAGCACATTAATATTTCATAGTAAAATCTTATCAATATTAACACTGACTGGAAAAATAAAGACTACATAAATAGTCCCAAGTCATTTTAAGTATGATTTTGCCTCAAATGAGTTTATGCAAAACTTGGAAACAAATTATTCTGCAGAAATTTTGGATTTTGAAAATGAGAATAATGGGTGTTGGACCCTTATTAATGATGATGATTAACATCAGCAACAACAGGGGCGCCTGGGTGGCTTAGTCGGTTAAGCGTCCGACTTTCGCTTAGGTCATGATCTCGCGATTCGTGGGTTCGGGCCCCGCGTCGGGCTCTGTGCTGACTGCCAGCTCAGAGCCTGGAGGCTGTTTCAGTCTGTGACTCCCTCTCTCTCTGACCCTCCCCTGCTCACGCTGTCTCTCTCTCCTGGAAATAAATAAAACATTAAAAAAATAAAAAAAAACATCAGCAACAACAATATCAGCCGTTTCTATTTACTGTGCTTTGCATGTCACATGTATTATCAGAAATTCTCATAACATTCCTGCAGGACAACTACAGTGAACCCCAACCGAAAAAACTGAGTGTCCTAATGATTAAGTCACTTTTCCAACGCACACAGATTACAAAGAAAAGGGCAGAGATCTGAACGCAAATCCATCTGATCACAGAGCACACTCACTTTCCTCTATAAGGAAGAGTATATCCAGATCATCCATCTGAGATATAGATTTCAAATCTATAAGATGGAGAAAATAACTCTTTTATATGTATCACAGAGATGACTGTAAGGATGAAATGAGATCATTTTTATGAAAATAATGTGTTAAATATAAAGATCTATATAAATGTGAGACAATATTACCTAGAAAACTTTTTATTATATATCTGAATCAATGTTTAAAATGAGATATGGTTTTAATGAAATTCTTTTCAGGTATTCAAAACAAATATGCTAATTTTACCAGAAGAAATGCTAAGCATTAAACATTGTTTTTTAAATATCTAAGAAAGGAAAATCCCAATATGTTCAAGGGGGTCCATAACTAAATGCCTATCATCTCAAGTTTTTATAAAGTTTTTATAAGCCATATATAAAACCAGTGCAGTATGCAGGCATAATACATTATGTTTGGTCTTAAAGTAGCTCTGGGTACCCAGGAGAGATAAGACAGATCATTTTTTACCTTATAGGTAACTTCTTAATCTTTTGAAATTTTAAAATTATTCCAGTTTATGTAGCAATCTGCTCACAAAAGTTTCCATACCACTTAAGTTCCAAGGATAACTGGGGGATTGCTTATGTATCCTTCCTCAAGGAAAATTCTGTTATAAATAGGACATACGTAGGTACTGCCCAATGCAACTTTTGTTCCGTGACGGTATATTCATAGCATTAAAAAAGTTGAGGGAGTGCTGTATTTGAAAAGTTTAAGAATTATTACTCTAAAATATTGATCTGATCATGTGGACTCTACAGCATAAAAATCTAAAATGGATCCTCATGGCCTAAAAGATAAAAATTGCTTTGTGTGGCACATAACACCTCTCTCGGCCTGGACCACACGTCTTTATTGCTTCAACTCTAGCTACTTTTCTCCAAATTGTGTTCCAGCCACTGAATTTCTTTCATTTCCCAACTATGTGATCCTATTGACAGCTTAGTAGCTTTACAAATATTGTTCTCTTTGCCTGATTACCTTAGCCCCTTATCTACCTTAAATTCACAGGCATCTTTCCAAACCTTGTTTCAAAGCCACTTCCGCTATATAATTCATCAGTGCCTGCCAAATGAATCTTTGCTGATTAATGACTGATTCATACCTTCCTTATTAAATACAATACATGCTTATCTCTATAAATACATAGATTTTTGGCATACAATAATACAGTGATAGTATTTCTAACAGTACTGCAATATATAAATGAATGTCTCTGGAAATGAAATTTAAAAATCTTTACATTAACATGTTTCATTTAAAGCACAGAGGTAAAAAAGAGAAATTTTGGATGATTAAATGTAAAAAATAATAGACTTGTTTTTCATCGCAGTCCATAGAAGACCAAAGAAATGCTGGGGTAAGCAGAACACTGAAGGGCAATTACTGAGTAAATTTGGGTGCCTTGAAATAAAAAGAAAATTCTTCAATTTTATACACTAAAGTTTTTTTTTAATATTTTATAGTTTATTTTTGAGACAGAGACAGAGCATGAGAGGGGGAGGGGCAGAGAGAGAGGGAGACACGTAATCAGAAACAGGCTCCAGGCTCTGAGCTGCCTTCACAGAGCCGGACGCGGGGCTCGAACCCACGAACCGCGAGATCACCACCTGAGCCGAAGTCGGCTGCTTAACCGACTGAGCCACCCAGGCGCCCCTATACACTAAAGTTTATAGTTTAGGTCAGGAGTTGCCAACTTTTCATATAAAGGATCAAATCATAAATTTTTAGGCTTTGAAGGTTGAAAAGCAAAATCAAATTACAACTATGTCACAGCAAATCCCAGTGCTCTGAGCAATGCAAAACTACACAGCCACACATTTGCATATCCGTTGCAATTACTCTATACTGCTGTTTTAGTGCCACATACAATATGTAAACAAATGTGTAGGTGTGTTCCAGTGAAACTATTTATAAACAAAATCTTAATTTCATGTTTACATTACAAAATATTATTGCTTTGCTTTGTTTTCCCCCACCCATTTAAAAATGTAAAA